GCATAAATTGTATCGAGCAACCAAATCAAGGAAACGCCAAACGTATTATTAATTAATGTTTCTTATTTTTATAACGGTGCACATTTTTGTTGTTTACATTAGTAAGTTGACAATTGTATTTACTAAATTAACCGTTTATTAACAGAATACAAATATAATTATTATTTTTTATTATTATTCATTAATTATAATATATGCACGATTGATTTTTTTATCATCATAATTTAAACTACAAAATTTCAATACATAATTTTTTTACGTTGACTTTTAAATACTTTTAAAGTAACTGTACATTATACATTAGAAAATACAAATTTTTAAGTAAATTGGAAAGGGGTGATTAGCTCAGCTCTCATTCTATCTGTGTTCTAAGAAGTAGGCGTTTGTTCCTTATTAGCCTAGGGGCCCTTTTCGGGTAATTCCGGCTCTTCCCATTTTAAATAATGTTATTATTTGCGGCAGCAAATGTACTGTTATTGTATTTTCAAATGCATTTTTATAATTAACTAAGACAAGTAACACCTTTATTGAGAAATACGGATATGTTGGATGAGAATATTTTTTTAATGAAATATAAACTAAATAACGGGTTTTTCATAATTAAGCCCAATCAAATTTTAAAATCTATGAAATGAAATATAAAAACGTCAATAATTATAATAATAAAATGAATTTTAATTTATTATTATCAAAATTAGTTAATTTCTATCATTAAAAAATATTAATCTTAAAAAAACTAATACAACCAGTATTTCTCAGAATTGTTAATTAAATTTTAACATAACAAATTTTTTATTAAAAAATATTCTATCTATCAAATATAGATAAAAGCCGCTCATTTCACATACAATTTATCCCCATAAAATAACAACAAAACTATTTAAAAAAAAAATTTCTAAAAAAGTGGCCATATGATTTTTTTTTTTTTATACAATTTTTACATAAATAAATATTTATTTTTTAACTTTTATGCTAGTTTGGAAGATGGAGTTTTATAATGAAAAAATCATATTTTAATATATTACATCAAAAATTGACTAAAACTAATTACACGTCACTTATTAACTCCTTAAAAGGGGATATAATAAAACAAATAGAATTTAGAAACCTCAAGAACATATTATAAAAACACCTTTTTTTTAATTCAGGAGTAGAAATTTTTACTTTTTTTGACTACTTGTCTTGCTACAATTGCATATTAGAACACTGTGCGAACTAAATGTACTGATAATTTAGACTGGGGAAAATATTGCTATAGTCCTAAAGATGCTACGGTTATTTTATTTTATATTATCTACTTTCTTGAAACTTAAAACAATACTCTCGCAGTGTTTCTAATTATAGCATAGTCCACATACTCGTAGCTATCTACACCATCCGTATTTCATACATCTGTCAATGTAGAGAGTATTACCTATACCACTTAATTATAATCTTAATTATAATATTAAAATTAACTTACCTATTATTAACCATCATATAAAATACAACCGAAATCACAATGGTATAATTTAACAAAAAATAACGAAACTCATCACATTACAGTTATTAATTCCTAATTCATACATCTCAAAATGATGAAATACCAAAGACAGTCTCGACTACCCCCAATATCAAAATAATGTTATTTAAAACAATTCAGTAGTAGAAAAAATTAACTCTCTTTTTGTTAAGGTTAACAGTAACAAATAAAGTTTAAAATACATCAATATTACTATGCATACAGTATTAATAACGATTTATCTCTCATCTCTCCGAAAATCTGGTTACTTGAATATTCTTTTTACATCCGCTTCAATTACATTAAATCTGTAGGTAAATATTATTAACTTAACTCCTTATAATGTTTAACAGAATTGTTGATTGTTTTATACATGTATAGTTTAACATTGTTCATAGTATTTATATGTATACATATCATTTTCATAAAAATTAATATATCTACTATTTTTTCCTTCTACAAATTGTGTTAATTTTATTATACTTAACAGAGACAAATAACATAAGCTTTAATTTTTCTCCTTATAAACTATTTGAAAATTGTCAATAACTATAATATTATCATTTTTAATATTTTTGCAGTCAAATTAATATAGAATGAGTTAGAATAATTATTTTCAAGATTATATTTAAAAATTGTTAAAGCCAGAAAGTAACAAAATATGTATTATAGATCAAAATTATTCGATTTTTCATATCTCCCTGCTCACAAAATGTAAGTCATTCGAGTATACAAGAAATCTTTAGTGTAATAAGTGTGATTACCTAACTCTACATGTGTTATTTCTATTTTTAGATTTTTGGTTATTACAAATATTAGCTTAAATATAGGTTTATTTTTTTTACACAAGCCACACAATTTTTCAAACTTTATATTTTTATTGAAAACATTTATTTTTAACTAAATAAATGAATAAAGTTATTTATTAAAATGAATTAAGTATAATTATTGATTATTTACACTAATAATCAATAAAATAAAAAGAAACTGATATCCACGAATATAATTTTCTATGGTCATAGTTATTAACCAAAATATTTAGTTTTATTGATAAAGTGCTCATAAGTTTGATTGATTTGCACGTAAGCTAAAAGAAGATATGAAATAAGAAATTTTACTTTACAAAAATACTACATGACCTTGGCTAATACATTACAAATAATACTTATTAAAATTATTATATTGTTAATAACTATGTCTTATTAATAAACTTAAAGATTATTATTGTACTCTATTGAGAAATATTTTTTCTGTACTAATATAACATATTCTTATCTGTTGAAGTACATAGTTAAGTTCAATAAGCATAATTTTTTTTCAATACTATTTCTTATAAAATAGTTGTTTTTAAAATGGCACATTTTTTTGTGTTCATAATAAAATGGAGTTATACAATACAAACCCCAGAACTGAATACATGTAAAGCAATTTACGTTTTTTTTTTTTTAGCACATTTTGTTTTTAACACACAATAGTTGCCAATTAGTAATCAATTATTTATACTACTTTAAATTTTTCCATAACGTAGATTTTGTAATTAACTCTACTTATAAATTTGCTATATTGGAAAAACATATTTTTTTATGTATAATAAAGTTCTGTAGAATATTTATTAAATGATGTTTCCATTTATCCAGTTTTTATTTTTAGACCATCTTATACATATCTTTTTAATGTGTTGTCATAAAATAAAATTACATATACATGTAATTTTGATTGATAAAATTGAATCACACCAATTAAGGAGTATTAAGCTTCATATATGTAAAAAAAAACCTGTATTTATAATAGAATAAATCATGTGAAATTATATCTATTATCTTGTACATATATATGCATTTTCCTTCACAACATATAACATTCAATGAAAATCTACGAAACTACAGCATTTTTAGCACACAAAATTGAAGAAAAATTTTTTAATCTCGGTATTTAAAATGAAAATGCTAAACTATAAATTAGAATTCTTAAAAAGTACATCATATATTAATACATGTTATACACATCATCTAATTCGCACTCAGTAAACCCTATTTTTAAGAAAAGTTTTAATTCTTCTTCTTTTTCCTTGCCTTAGTCCCAACAACTTGGAGTCAGCCAAAAGAAAAGTTTTAATTATTTTTTAAATTTATCATCTTATAAGCCTGGCTATGGGCTTAAAAATATATAATAACTGATAATTATAGAAACTTAATATGTCACTAACAGAGACAAAAAAAAAATTATTAGTTTAAGAGAAAATGAGTGGTTTGCATTAAAATAACCACTTAATATACACACTGACAATTAATTTAAGATTTTCGAAAAATAAATTTCATTTTATGTTTTAGTTTAAAATTAAGTAAAAATTATTTTTAATGATTTTTTGATTTCTAAGAGTTTAAAAATTATTAAAAAATTGTTTAATGTATATACCCGGATTTTATATTTAAT